CACCACAGTCCTATTCGTTATTTTTCCATAGCCACCCTAACACCATGGTTGCAAAACCGTTGCCAATATGTTTTTGTTTCAGGAAAAGGAAGAAGACGGTCTCGTGTCCATCAGCTATTGGTCACTTTGAATCTCGCGCGCTTTTAAATGCCACTGACCAATATTTCTTTTTGTTATTTATTTGTTGTAATATAATAACATGTGCGTGCTGGCTCAGGTGGTAAGCGTGAATCCCATTAACCCTCATGACCTGGGTTCAAGTCCCAGGTCTGGCAAAAGTTCAATATTATTTTTCACAAGTGAATCCCATGCAATGCTGGAATGAAGATGCACCATACACCCAGGACCAAGCCTTGACACGTCTTCCTGGAGATTAAACTAAAGGCTTAGATTTGAGAGACACGCTGCACTTGGTCAAAGGCATCACACCTGAGCCAAAAAGTCAATGGACTTCAAAGCCTAATGGGCCAGAAATTCCAGGCCTGGACCCTCCAAATTGGGGTTACCCCCCCTGGTTTGCATTTTTTATATTTTTCTTCTTACCTTTATTTTTGCTATTTTATTTATTTTATTGTTTCAACATAATTAGTTTATTTCCTATAAAATATAAAAACATTCAAAAATCAGAAAATATAAAAAATATGATATTTATTTTATTATGATTATTTTCTAAATAAATACATGTAAATTATTTAGTTTTAATTAGGTATTCAATTTTAATCTTTTTTAATAAAAAATCCAAAAAAATAGAATTTAGGTTTAATAACTTTTTATTTTCTTTTTTTTAATTTTCCCTTTTTCAGAATAATAATATTATTTATTTATTTTCATAAACTAAAAATTGTACATAAATTAATTTAGAATTAAATTAGGTTAGAAATTAAATCTTTTGCATAATAAACTTAAAAAACATTAGAACTAGGGTTCAGCCTTTTAATTTTAATTAATTTTTCTTTTTTCTTTTAAATCTAAAAAACACAAAAATACCATTTTTCATTTAATTTTAATTTTAGATAACTTAATTATTTTAATTCCTTTAAAGGGTTCAACGCCCTCGCATTTGATTATTTTCTTTTTCGCGCGTTTCATTTATTTCTTTTGTGAACATAATGTACTTGTACCAAAGCCATGTAATAGTTATTAGACATTTCTTTTCTGCAATTTATTTTAAAACGGGTCTGGATTAATTTGGCGTTGTAGACCCTCGCCCTTTGTAATAGCGTAGGACTTTTATCTTTTCCGCACTTTAAATTCCCGCACTTTTAACTGTTAAACAATAACATGAAAGAATGAATGCCCAAAAATAAAATCGAATCGTTAGATCACCAATGCATGACAAGACAAACAATAAACTGAAAATGACACACAATTCGCACACACCACCCCTAGGGTACGCCTCACTGTTGCCTTTCGAAAGGTGATCATCGAGTAGAGGATATTTTAGCAAGTCCTTGTGTCCATTGATCAAGTTGCCTAAAACAAGTTGCCTCGGAATAGTTGCCTCGGAATAAAAGATCAATGGCATAAGGGTAGCTTCTAAGGTGTCTTCCCATTACTCCGGTGATCACCACGTCCCTAAAACTCGAATTGACCCGAACACCTCCAACGGTGGTGCTACCTACCTCTCAATGGTGGGATGGCACTACTTTAAAGGACATTTACACAGACAAATTCCTTAGGGTAGGTAGGTTCTCATGGATACTTGCTCTCTTCAAAAACAAAACAAATAATACTTTTCACACCAACACTTTCAGAAACTTTCAAAACAAACTTGTCAAAACGCTCCGACGCACGAGTTGAACTGAAACTTTTCAAAGAATATTTTTGAAACCCACAATTGAAAAGCAAGCAAACAATTTTGAAAACACATTGAGCAAGTACCTAAGAGCCCATGGATAACCATGGATAGAAAGGGTGCTAATACCTTCCCTTTCTATAACCTACCTCCCGAACCGAGAGCAATCTCTTTTAAAGGAATTTTTCTGTGCTTTTGTCCTTTCCATTTGGAGAAAATAAAAGACGGTGGCGACTCTTGCTTACCGCGACATTTCGCGAACCAGCTTTAAAACAGTCAGTTCCAGATCCACCGATCACAGTATGGCTTCAGCGGAAGAAGGTGCAGAGGTGCTCACGGTTAAGAGGAAAACCGATGGCAATGAGGAAAAAGGAGGAAGCAAGAACTCGAACATAGTCCCACATTGGTTAGGAATGTAGAGACTTGAACATATATATATATATATATATATATATATATATATATATATATATATATATATATATATATATATATATATATATATATATATATATATATATATATATATATATATATATATATATATATATATAGTGGAGAACCCACTTATATATAAGTGTCGACCAAATAAAGACCCTCATCGGCTCCACTCGCCTCCTCTATCTCAATCTTCTCATCTCTGGTGGCCACCTCGGCTGGTTTGACCATTTCACCTGTATAACAAAGGAAACTAGTGAATTTGACAGATAAATCAAATCCACTATTCCACCACAAAACAAGTGAAAGAGGGTTGCTACGACCAAACCACGTCGACAAACCCTTGTTCAGCGAGAAGCGAGCATTCTCATGAATACTACGAGGGGAAGATAAATTCCCCGAGCAATATCATGAGTTATGCAAGGAGAGGATGAATTCCCTAAGCAATATCACAATTTCTACAAGCAATCTCATGAGTTCCACGAGGAGCGGGTGGGTTCCATGAGCAAATAATGGATTTCACAGGGATCTCACCCCCATGGGACATATGATCCATCAAAGCTAATGAATCTCGCAAAGAGAAGTATGAATGTCCCGAGGTAAGACCCCTCAGATAGTGAAATTCATCGGAAAAATCCATTAATTCCACAAGGAGGCCCCTCCAAAAAATTTCTATAGAGTATAAAACCCATCCATAGACAAGGATAATCGCAGAAAAGAAACACTTACTTGATTAAAGTTGGTATGGCTTCAGCGGAAGAAGGTGCAGAGGTGCTCACGGTTAAGAGGAAAACCGATGGCAATGAGGAAAAAGGAGGAAGCAAGAACTCGAAAACATTACAAATGAGCCCTTGAGCACTATTTATAAAACTTGCGCAAAAGATGAAGCGCTGCGTCGAATAACGTGTCAACTATTCATTTATCCACCGTCCACGTGTTCAAACTCATGATGACCCCTACTCCCTATGCCATCATTCCACCCTAAAGACTATGCCATGTGGCCTGCGAAGTAAATGACTATTGCCTTTTCATCTCCTCGCGAGTCAAGGAGCATAAAGACTCTCCCCGCAAACACACTCTAACTTCCATCCAAACATCGACCATATAAGGACGACCATGTTCTTCAACGAAATAGGTCCAGTGAGCCTTGCTCATCGGATGAGCGAGTTGATCTTAAGTCATAGCTCATCCCCTTAGGAGCAAGAACTTGGGGGGCTCCTGTTCTGGACTGGGCCCGCACTGAGCCCAAACTCCATACAAGACCTAATCCAACCATGCTATGGGAGAAGACCAGCAGAAGTGAGTATGCCCTTAACCATGTCGGACAATGATCCTACTGCTCACGTTGAAGACATATCCTCTGAGGACAGCCTCGTCACATGATTGTCGAGGAGTTCCTTGTGACATACCCTCCTCGTAGGGTAGACGCCCAATGCCTCAGAATATCGCAGAGTCCTCTTGACCCCGAAGAGACCGCATCCACATCTCCATGATAGTTTAAAGCAGTTTATTTAGGATGGAGACCACATGCTGATCTCCACTACACATGTAGGTCCTGACAGTCTCCATTTTGGGCTTGTTTAACCAGCTTAACATGAGGACTTTAGCCCACTGCTGGGAGCTATAAATACTCTTTCACTTGAGAGAGTCAGATATTCATTCATTCACTCTTACTATACTACTTGCATTCTGATTATTCTCATTCTCACTTTGGCATCAGAGTACCTTGCAGGTACAACCCCCCTTTCACTTCACTCTCAACAACTATCGTTCAACTCAAGCTCGTGGGCCAATGACAATTCCTAATACTGAATACAAGTTACAACAAAATGAAAGCAAGCACAACAGAAAATAACAACACGAAAAACAAAAAAAAAGACTTAATAGTATAACATATATAAGAGATTACAACCATCAAAACAATATCATTTGATCAAAACATCATAACACGGACATCATTGTGAGTTTTAACTGACTCCTAAAATCGAGTTGGTTCGCTATTCTCATTCGCACTGTTGAACACCGAAACAAGCCTATCAATTCTTCTAATTTTTTCACCATTTTGAATCTCTTAGTCTAACCAACAAATCAAGCTTCTCTCAAGGTGCTCGAATGTCTGAGTGTTCCAAAACCGAATCTTTATTGGAGACTTGAGAATCAAATAACAAACATGAACATCTCTATTATAATCATGTTAGAAGAAGATGAAATGAAAAAGATGAAATAAGTAGATGTGTGAAAAATGATGGAGAATAAAAAGTTAATTATAAAAAAATCTAATACACAATAATGCTAGAGGTACTGACACCTCTTCTTATGCCCCTAAAGTATACGCCACTCCTATTGACATGATAGTAATATATACGCGGTAGACTCTAATGTCAATGTGTAAATTTGAGTGTATGCGTTATTAATATTGACATATCTTCTTTAATGTAATTATTTATTTTAAAACATAAGTATTTTGGTGAATAATGTGAAATATTTGTTATTTAGCTATAAAAGTTTGTTATTTGAAAAAAAAAATCGAAAATTGTTATCCTAAAAGTTTTGGAATACAAGTTTTTTTAAATTTTTTTTTCAAAATCCGAATCACGTACACCCTAAGATAAAATTAAATCTAATTCAAAGATATTAAATTGCTTTGAATACTTTTCTCCATAAAAAACGAACCAAAATTAATTAGCAAACACAGTTAATATAAATGCAAAGCTAATTCCGATTCACTTGGTCGTCGCAACCCAAATTTCCACCGTCTCTGCTTACAATGAACGGCGAAGAAGAAGATGAAATAGCTGAAGAAGTTGAAGCCATGAAATCCGTTTATGAAAGCGATTGCACCATTCTCCATTCCTTTCCTCCTCACTTCCGTCTATCCCTCAAACCCAGAACCGCCGATGTTTCCTCTCACCAGGTTCCCAATTTTTCTCCAACCCCTAATTTCAATTTTTTTTCAACTTTTAATTATTCAAATTCAATTTCTTTGCAGTTTGTAGAAATTGTTCTTGAGGTCCATGCAACTCCACAGGTATGTTTCACTATGATTGTTGAATTGAATTTTTTTTTTATAAATCAGTAGCAACAACAATAGCTTATGTATTTTGTATTTTGTATTTTTTTTCTGTATATATTAGTATCCAAAAGAACCACCTTGTGTTGCTCTTGTGGATTGCAAGGGTTTGGATCAATATAGACAAAAGCATTTATTGAATCATATAGAAAATAAAGCCAATGAGCTTTCTCCTGGATTAATGCTTGTAGCTCTTTGTGAGGTAATCAATCAACTTACTGCTTTATTTATGATGGAAACAACTTATGATTTGTCCATAAGCTGTTTTGTATTTGAGTTTATTTACGGATATAAGCACTTGTGAGACTGGTTCGAAGAGTTTATGGAAATAACTTATGACTTGTCCATAAGCTGTTTTTCAGGACAGTTTATGAAAACAACTTGTATCTTATATGAAAACTATTTAAATATTTTTATTTGTTATTGAAATAACTTATATATATGATAAGAGTTTATGCTTGAGCTTAAGTTGTTTATCCAAATAGTTAGTAAACTCTATAGTAGTTTTTTCTTCTAACTACTTTAAATGTGCAAGGTTCCTTTCCTAAAGAATTTTATGTTGTATTTATCCTTCTAAATGAGTTAATATGCTTCCCAAATTACTAAGTAAAATGAGTTGTAGTTAAAAATAAACTCACAGGAGACTAAGGGCCAATGATTCAAATTTATGGTTACTTGAGGAATTCAGAATAACTTAATAAAGAATATCAGCCATTGAAAAATGCTTAATCTTGTGGGACTGCAGACTCATTCATTTATGGTCACTTTGTAGATCTTCTTGCTATTATGTTTCTGTTGTGATACGTACTATTTTGCTTTATAGTTTTTACTAAAACTTTGGATGGGATGGAAGTTGTCGAGCCTGAAAAATCGTCAAATATTGTTTTTTGTGCAATAATGATTGATAATTGATTATTGGAATGTATTTGAAGGAGGCTGTAGACAAACTCTCAGATATGAATCATCCTGATGGTGATTGTCCATTGTGTTTATTCCCATTGGTCACAGAAGATCACCAACGTGAAACCTTGCCTTTTATGAAGTTAATGTCTTGCTTTCACTGTTTTCACAGGTAGGGGGCCTATTAATTTTATCCTTCTATTCTATGTTCATTATGTTAGATTCTATGTCTTGCTTTCACTGTTTTCACAGGTAGGAGGCCTATTAATTTTATCCTTGTATTCTATGTTCATTATGTTAGATTCTCTTACAACCTTTGTGTAGTTATTTTTTCTTGGTTTAACATTACATTTTCAATATCTAATTTTCCCTTCCAATTTCTGTCTATAATTGGCAGTGAATGTATCATTAGATGGTGGAATTGGCTCGAGAGTTCCAAACAAACAGGGTCTTCCAATTCAGATAATGCAACAGCTCATCGTAACCGGGGTATGTATAATTGTGAAGTTACATTTGATAATCGACAAGTATAGATGTAGTTTTCAATGTGAAATTATTCTTTTTTACAGTGAAGTATAGAAGCTTGAAGAACTAGTAATCTAATATTCCGCAACTGTAAATCCTCTTAAGACATGGTTGACTCCTAAATAAATTCCTAATTTTCCAAATTCAGTTCGAGTTTTGTGAATTGGTTGAAATGTAAGACCAGGCCAAAATATTTCTTGTTCAAAATCTTGGTGAACATATAGGAACCCATTGCAACAATTACCTCCATGTTAGCTTCTCTGAAATGTGGGTCTCTTGTCCTAATTTTGGTTTAATTACTCCATCCGACTGTTTCATAATGTCGCTCATAGTTACCACACTTTCTCAATAACACTTCATTAGCCATATTGTGCACCAAATATACTTTTTTTTTTTGTGAACTATCGTCCGGGTTTGCATCAGAAAGTCTTATAAAAATAATGTGAGATAACTAATGACCTGAGTGCTAGCAGTAGTATGAAGTAAGAACTAAATACTCATTCCCGGACCATACTCTTAGTAACTTTGATGTTGCATATGAGCTTAATCCATCTTTCCCACATAATATAAAATATGGCTTGATGTGTTGCTCCTTCATATTTTGGGTATGAATGGCTTTAGGTTAGCAATTATGTTGACACTTTTTTGGTCAATCATTTTTTGATATTTTATAGGAAATCTTTTACTTAGGTTCAAATGGCTCAACGTTACTTTAGGGTACTTTTTGGATTTACTCCATTTCGTATTCCCAAAATTTGATATTGTTAAGTGTTTATCTTTTGTCATGCTTTATTGCTACCACAGTAAATACCATGCAAATACACATGCAGATACCATACTTAATTGCACCTTAGTAAATACCATGCAAATACACAGTATAATATATATTTTTTCATGAGGAATTACTGTGTGTTATTATTATTATTCTTAGATAATCATGAAAAATTGGAAGAGGGTGCTGGAAACTGCCCTGTCTGTCGCAAACCATTTCATGCCAAAGATTTGGACCATGTGCTTGACCTAGTTGGCTCACATTCTTCTAGAGAGGTAACTTGTTTACCACGAAATATAAATAAAAATTTCATTATTGGTGTGTTTGGTTACTATGGCCTAGAGAGCATAGTCAGATGTCAGACCTATTTATCACCCGGTTGAATTTGCCTCTAGGATCATACTTGAAGTCTGATAGAGTTGCTCTTGAAATTATAGATTATATTAGAAGTCTTAAAAACCAATAGTTGATTTCATTTGTAGTCAAACATGGTATTAAGGCAAAGAATGGTGTTTTCAAAATTAGTGTCCTATATTTTACTATTGAATTTGATCCCAATTTTCTGTTGGAATTCAGAGTTTGAACAATGAAGTCGATATTGAGGAAAACATCCTTCAATCTGAAGAGGAGATAATCAGAAAACAGAGGTTTGAATCCATCTTAAGTTTACAGAAGGAGAACAATGGTTTGATTGAACCCAAAAAAGATATTGTAATATTGCCTGGTATGTATCTTCAACAACCGGTTGCAGTGCCAGACTCCACGTCAACCAAGGAACCTGATGAGACTGAACAACATGAAAGAGATCCACCTGCAGTTTTGTCTGGAAAACATGTTAGTGGGACCTCAAATGGACCTAGTTCTAGTGGGAACAGGAATTTTGGTGCAAGGAAGCATAGACCAAGAGGCGATCATCATCACTCTAGTTCAACTGCAAGACCACAAGATGATCATCATCACTCTAGTTCAACTGCAAGACCACGAGATGATCATCATCACTCTAGTTCGACTGCAAGACCAAGAGATGATCATCATCACGCAAGACCAAGAGGTGATCATCATCACTCTAGTTCGACTGCAAGACATCCAAGAAAACCAGTCCAACAATGGGTGGTTCGAAGAGATACTCCTAGCAATAAGCAATAGAAGCTATATGCTATCTTTCATTGCTATTGTTCATACTTCATATTATTTATAGAACATATCATATGAATGTTCAGAGTGCAAAGAAATGTGAACCAAAAGTGTAGGAAAATATCACAGGTAGAGAGTAGACGTAGGGTATCCTTTTGGTTGGAGGAACAGAAAGAAGCAAAATAAAGGCAAACCAATTTCAGAAGGTTCATATTCTTTATGAATTTTAATAATTTTTGTTCTTTTGGAATATTCCACATGTAATTTATTTTTTATTCAACAATCAAGTTATACATTCTGCATTTCCTCAAGATGGCATTTCCTCTATAAATGTTGAAGATTTCAATTTGAAGTTGGTACTACTACTACTAACTACTACTACCATAGACGAAGAGCATGTAAATAAATTGCTAGAAAAACAAAACAAAACTATATGAACCTTGTAACGTTGAATGTTGCCTAAACATTGTTGTAATTGGATATTGAAATGTACATAACCTAATGCGTAGCAGCTAACTGAATTGTAGGTTACTTTTAACTCTTAATATAAATAGTGAAATCTAATTTTAGTATTTAAGTTAAATGTTATTCATAAGTTTAAATTTAAATGGTAGTATTAATAAATATATTGTTAACTAAAGGAATGAGATGACACATGTTTTATCTGGTCTCAAATTCTAATCTTAAGAATGCATCAAAGATTTGTGGTCCATGTGATTTTATTGAACTCTAGGATTGTGATACCTGGTTTATGTTAAAAATGCATTATGATTAATATAATATCTCTTAATATGTTTTTAAACAAATGATTAATATAATATATGGTTTTTAAGAAAATTTAATCGCTTATTATTACTTTTACAAATTGAATTTATTAAAAAACGTCAAATTTATTTTCCTCAGGATATTACCAATAAAAATAAAAAACATCAAGTTTCACTCAAAATTTTCCATTTTGCAAATATGTCATTTTCTCATCATAAAAATTCCCTAGATTACCAACAACTTTTAGTGGTGTCATCACTAACTTCCCACTAATTCAAAACTTGAAACCATCACCAATGTGTCTTACCTTTATATGTTTAATTCTCAAATGTATTTTTAGTTAGTTAATTAGGTTATCGAATCACCTTTCTTTAATCAATTTAATTTTCATTACTAATAGAAAACATATTCAGAGATGTTTTTATAATTTTGAAACATTAAGTTCCTATAGTAATATTGCTTTAAACATTTAGACACATCAAAAGATTAAGAATATTATCAGATGGTTACAATTGATGACTTGATCAAATTTGCTTAATTTTATAAGCAAGACTTGCTTGACTTGAAAATAAACTCCCAGGAGAACTTATTGAATATGCTTTTAATCAAATCATCCAAACATATCTTTATTCTAAAAGGACTAATGCTATGTTTGGTGGAGTGGCCTTTGAACGCGCGTTTGGTGGCACAGAAGCCAAACCAAACAGGCCATAAGTTCATATACATAACTACTAACTAGTTTCATTAGAAATAGTACATGCCATGATAACTGATGGATTGGCACAAAGTCAGATCCTTAAGTTGATTTGAAGAATGCCGATACTGCAGGGTTAGCGCCAAAAAGCCGCAATAGCCATGGGTTTTGGTCTTTGACATAATACATGGAAGTTGTTTAAAAATGAGAGTGAAGATAAGTTAGGCATGTTTGAACATCTTCATGCTGAGCCAATGGAAGTACACAGCAACCATAATTATAGGGAGAGTCAATGGCACTAAGAAGCAGTAGTACCTGTGAAATAAATACAAGTCAGAAAAATTAGGAGGGAGGTAGCAACAAAAGGAATAAGAATAACAATACTAAATCATAGTGCCTGAAATGATTATAATTGCCATATTATTCATTACATGCATAAAGTTTAATTTGAGTGGTGGTAGAGCAGGCCATGGGGATAAAAATGATGTCAATTGCTGATTACAGAAAATAAAGGTTTCTTCAAATTCTGCTATGCTACAGAGCTGTCATTTGACAACAGTGTACCACTGCTGCAGCTGTCATTTGAAAGCAGTGTACTAAAGAGCTGTGATGCCTGGCAGAGGTATTCCAAGTTGTATCCGATTAACAAGGCTGGGCCATTTCGAGGTTGGGCCTAGGAATAGTGAGTTGATATTCGCTGATATGCTTAGCGAGAATACGAAGACAGGGTCAGATTTTTAAAACCAGAACTCTGCTGAAGAACTAGCTGCTGCGATGACAGGCTCAGTGATTATATGTAAGCATATATTAGCGTACCAGAGTCAAATTCTGCTGGCTATAACAACAACAATGAGTTCAAATTCTGCTTGCTATAACGGTGATATAACCAGTGTTTGACAAGATTGCACCAGCATTTGGCAATTGTACCCCTAACACTGAAAGGGGGACTCTGTGGGGACTGACTCCAACTGATAATTGGGGACTAAATATGAGGAGTCTCCTTTGTAAATGACATATAGAAGGCTATTTTTGGAGCATTGATCGGAGATAAGTTAAGTAACTTATCCAACCAAGGTTCCAAGCACAACAAGACAGTATTTCCACCTTTTCTGATTTGAACACAATTCTGTCAATCACAGATCACGAAAAAATCCATTTGATGACACTTTGTACAGAATAATTCCACTAGTTTACTATGCTATAAGTCTGCTATAGGCAGTAGAATAAATCTCAAGATTGAAGGTCGGAAGGCTGTAACATGATAATCCATTTGGAAAGAAAGAAAGAAAAGAAAACTGACCAGTCATTTTGAAAGGAAGAGATGATTGGAAAGTTGGAAGGAGGAAGAAGCTTGGACAAGAGAGCGAGAAAGAAGTAAGCAACAAACAAAATGGATCCAATTGATACCAAAAACCATCCACATAATTTTCTCTCATCAAATGAATAATAACCCATCATCATATAGGATTAGGGTATTGCTCCTACAACACCGGAAACCCTTCAATTTGCGCTCGCATATTCAGATCTGGAACTGCCCGCTTGCTTTTACTACACGCGCCGCGGCTACAGACACTCAAAGTTCATTTTAATTTCTGAATTTTTTTTGTGATTTCATGGAATACTCTTTATTAAATATCAATGAAAAACTCATGGTGTTCTTTCCTCGTGTTTTATACTATAGTAAAAGTGATTGATATCAAAATTACTTTTAGATTTTAATTAAATTAATTTTGAGACCATATTTAGTATCTCTAATTTTTATTTTATATTATTAATTAATCATTCCTAATCGAAAGGGATCATCGATGACCCATAAGTAGGGATGACAAAAAAAATCCGTATCCGTGGATAAAATCCGTTACGGATATGAGATGAATAACTTAATAGATATCCATAAATAAAATAAATGGATATTTAGATATCCGTTATTTAATGGATATGAATACGGATTTAATAATATTCATACCCGCGGGTATCCGTATCCGGATTCTTACTCCTCATCGTAGTAGATTACGTTCAGATACTTTGGAGGCATTAATGTGTGTCCAAGATTGGTTATGGACTGATGTGAAAGGTAATCAAATTAATAATAAGTTTTTGTTACAATGATTACTTATAACAAGTTAGTTTGTTTTTGAAGTAAGATTTGTTTTGGTTATAACATTGGAGAAGCAATCTTTCTCCTGCCTTTTTATGATTTATTACAAGTTAATGTTAAATTTTGGATTAATTTTTAGACTACTGTACCTTTTTATAGCATAGTTAGTGTTAACACTTGTTGAATGATTAGAATAAGTCAAATGCAGTGTAATTGGTTTTGAAGTGTTTTTGGAGAATAGCTTATTTGAGAAGCTATTTTGGAAAAGCTGCCAGTATGCTGCAGGAAACCCTGTTTTGTTACTTTGTTTAGTGTTAGCAGACACTATATATACATTTTGTAACATGTTGAATGGAATTTAATGCCATATGATTTTTTACCCTCTCAATTAATCTCTATTCTCTCTAAACTAGATCTTCCCCAATCCTCTAATTTCACCAAAATTATCCATCATCTCCATTGATTCACATACAAGGTTTTGTGCTTGTTCTAACATTTGGCATCAAGAGCATTGGTTATTGATCCCAATCCGCTGCAACACTAACAATGGCTACCGTTTCCAATGATCGAATTTCCACCAATCTCCCAATTCTTGATTCGAAGAACTACGACAAATGGGCGAAACAAATGAAGGTTCTGTTTGGTTATCAAGAGGTTCTTGAGATCGTCATCAATGGAGTTACACCATTAGAGGCAGATGCTACCGATGCTCGTAGGGCTACACACAAGGAAGAAAAGAAGAAGGATTACAAAGCTCTATTCTTGATTCATTCGTGTGTTGATAACGACAATTTCGAGAAGGTTGGTGATTGTGAATCCGCAAAACAAGCATGGGAAATCTTGGAGAAAGCGTATGCCGGTGCCGTCAAAGCAAAGGTGGTAAGGTTACAAACTTACAAACGTCAATTCGAGTTAACGCAAATGGAGGACAAAGAAACGATCAACGATTACATCACGCGCATTACCCGGTTAGTCAACCAAATCAAGTCATGTGGCGAAAGGATCCTCGAGAAGAATGTTGTATCGAAAGTGTTGCGTTCGTTAACATCACGTTTCGATAACATTGTTGTGGCTATCGAGGAGTCAAAGGATCTAACAACTTTGAGTAAAGATGAGTTGCAAAGTTCGTTAGAGGCGCATGAATAAAGGATGGATGAGAGAAGTGCCGACAAAGCCAAAGTGGAGATCGCTTTGCAAGCGCGTTTACATGAGAAGAACAAGAGATCGAAAGGGAAGTGGACTTCAAAAAATAAGAAGAATTTTGGTGGAAAAGATCCACAAAATTCAAAGGGTGAAGGAAGCTCCAAAGATGGTAATCAAAGCGCCCACAAACCGTTTGACAAAAGTTCTGTGAAGTGTTATAATTGTCAAAAGCTTGGGCATTTTGCGAAAGAATGTCGCTCAAAACGCAAGGAAAAGGATGCGGATGAGGCGAAGGTTGCTAGGGAAGAGGTAGATGATGAAGATACCCTTCTTGTGATGATTACGGAAGAGAATTATGGCATTGTTGATGTTTCGGGCAGCAGCTACTGTGATGATAGTGTGTGGGACAGCAGCTGTACTGTTTTGGAAAGTAGCGAAAAAATGTGTTCGGATCGAAATGCATTAGTTACCGTGCGTGAGGGAGTCCAAATTAAAGATGAATGGTACTTGGATTCTGGTTGTTCAACACATATGACGGGTCGAAAGGATTGGTTTGTGCAAATCAATCAAGCGACAAAGAGTAAAGTCAAGTTTGCCGACGACACTACTTTAAGCGCCGAAGGGGTAGGAGATGTTATGATCGGAAGGAAGAATGGAGGACAGTCGAGGATCAAAGATGTCTTGTACATACCGGGAATTAAGTGCAATCTTTTAAGCATTGGTCAATTGCTTGAAAGAGGGTACTTAATTCGATTGGAGAATAAGATGTTACGCGTTTTAGATTCAAATGGTGTGTTGATTCTAAAAGCACCGATGGCTGCCAACAGAACTTTTAAGGTTGAGTTAAAGGTTATGGAGCATCGTTGTTTAGCTACCGCGACAAGTAGAGAGGAGTGGCTATGGCATTACCGTCTTGGTCACCTTAACTTTAGGGATCTTAAGATGTTGCAACAAAGTGGAATGGTAACGGGGCTGCCACATATTAGTGTTCCGACAGAATTGTGTGAGGAATGTGTCACATCTAAGCAACACAAGAAGGTTTTTAGCAAGGATGCGGGTCGGAGAGCCAAAGACTTACTTGAGGTGGTGTATTCCGATGTTTGTGGACCAATGCAAGTAGAGACATATGGCGGCAATCGATATTTTGTTACGTTTATTGACGATTTTAGTAGGAAGCTTTGGACTTATCTTATCAAGAGAAAGGATGAGGTATTTGGAGTGTTCAAGAGTTTCAAATCCATGGTGGAGCGTCAAAGCGGCCGGAAGCTCAAAATTCTCAAAACGGATGGTGGAGGTGAATATACCTCTAGTGAATTTGGGAAGTTTTGTGATCTTGAGGGTATTGTGCGTGAGGTGGTGCCTCCATATACGCCTCAACAAAACGGGGCTGCCGAGAGGAAAAATCATACAGTAATGAACATGGTGCGTAGCATGCTTTGTGGGAAGAAGTTACCTAAAGAATTGTGGGGTGAGGCCGTATCTACAACCACCTACTTGTTGAATAGGTGTCCTACTAAGAAGCTGGAGAAAATCACACCGGAAGAGGTTTGGAGTGGTTTCAAACCGAGTGTGGTTCATTTGCGTGTTTTTGGATCGATTACATATCGTCATGTACCAAATCAACTTAGAAAGAAGTTGGATGATAAAGGTGAGAAGTTGATATTTTTTGGATATCACTCTACTGGTGGTTACAAGCTGTTTGATGAGAAGAATCGGAAGATCGTGATAAGCCGGGACGTGACTTTTGATGAAATCAAAAGTGCAGAAACAGCAGCAGAAAATCAGCAGCAGCAGTTTTTTGAAATCTCTGATCCGGAGTTGTCTGATGCCGCTGTACCAGCACCTACAGCAGCTGAAAACAATGTTGTGAATGAGGGTAGACCAACAAGGCATAGAGGTATGCCTCAAAGACTCCGAGATTGTGAACTGTTCAGAGATAGTGAGATCAACAATGATGGTGATCTTATTCATTTCGCTTTAATGGCCGAATCCGAACCGGTAAATACGGAGGAGGCATTAAGCGATCCAAAATGGATGTGTGCAATGAAGGAAGAGTTGAAATCGATTGAGAAGAACAATACTTGGGTGTTGGTTGATTTACCGAAAGGTAAAAAGGCGATTGGTGTGAAATGGGTTTACAAAGTAAAAGCAAATCCGAAAGGCGAGATAATCAAGCATAAGGCTCGATTGGTAGCAAATGGATTTTTGCAAAAAGAAGGCATAGACTTTGATGAGGTATTCGCACCGGTTGCAAGGCATGAAACCATCCGGTTAGTTGTTGCGATTGCAAATAACAACAGTTGGTCGTTATATCAAATGGACGTCAAATCGGCGTTTTTGAATGGTCCATTGGATGAGGAAGTGTATGTTGGACAACCACCTGGTTTTGTGATACAAAATCAAGAGGAAAGGGTCTACAAATTAAGGAAGGCACTCTATGGTTTGAAACAAGCTCCAAGAGCTTGGAACAAACGCATAGATGTTTTTCTTATCAACATTGGTTTCAAGAAGTGCGTATCCGAACACGGTGTGTATGTGAAGTCGGATAAAAGCAAAGGAGTAATCATACTTTGTCTTTATGTGGATGATTTGTTGATTACGGGCAGTTGTGAAAAGTACATTTCAAAGTTCAAAGAAGAGCTTATGGGGGAGTTTGAAATGAGTGATCTTGGCTCTATGAAATACTTCTTAGGCATAGAGTTCCAAAAAACAAAGTTGGGACTGCTCATGCATCAAAGAAGGTATGCAATGGAGATTTTGAAGAGGTGTGATATGGAGCATTGTAATGCTGCCACAACACCAGCCGAGGCACGTTTACAGCTGTCCAAGAGTGAAGATGAGCAAGATGTGGATCCTACTCAATACCGGAGATTGATAGGATAATTGCGTTACTTGTGCAATACGCGGCCAGATTTAGCGTTTAGTGTCGGTATTGCAAGTAGGTTCATGGAGAGGCCGAAGGTATCACACTTGGCAGCGGTTAAGAGGATCCTTAGATATGTGAAAGGTACTCTTGGTTGTGGGATTTTATTTCCTGCAAGTGACATGGGCAAAAGTTGCGAATTACTCGGATACACCGACTCCAATTGGTGCGGAGATAAGGACGATTGGAAATCAACGGCCGGTTATGTTTTTATGTTCGGAGGAGAACCAATCTCTTGGTGTTCTAAAAAGGAGCCGGTGGTTGCTCTCTCTTCTTGTGAGGCGGAGTATA